GAATAGCCTTCCAGCTGAAGTGGTAGAGGTTAACACAGTAAAGGAGTTTAAGCAGGCGTGGGATAGGCATAAGGCTATCCTAACTATAAGATAAGGCCAGGGACTAATGAAAGTATTAAAAAAAATAAAAAAATTGGGCAGACTAGATGGGCCGAATGGTTCTTATCTGCCGTCACATTCTATGTTTCTATACTTGCGTGATAATAGTCAGTGTTATTTTAAGCACACCTATAACATTTGGCTATTGTATCTTTCACTCTATTTGGAAGTATAATAATTGGCAAGAGGTGGTATTTACCCTGGGATGCTCCATTTTCCAGAGTTAAGGACACCCATGCCATACAGTTATCTTCAACACGAGACACTCAAGAATCCATCTATATGTTTCAATCATATTTATTCATCTCTAAATATTTTATCATCTTTAATACCACTCATCCTTTCAATAAGCTCCTGGATACCTGCTACTATCTTATGGTACTAAGCACTCTATTTATGATGTTTTTATAGGTTTCTGGTGAATCCCTATATGTTTCCAGTTTTCAGAGCTTTCTATACATGGTCTTACTCCCTCTTACTACTGTATATTCTACAAGTAGATATCAGATTTCTATTCTATTATACACCTAATGTTGAATGTATGTATTAGTTAACAGAACACTTGTATCTTGTTTTCATCTACTCTGGTACTCTACTGTATGTCTCTTATTTCTGTATAAAATACAAAACCTTAAATAAAGATTGTCAAAAAAAGAAAAGAAATTGATGCAGATGAAAATTCTTTACTTGGGTAGAACATAGGCTTAAACATAAAGTACAGAGAGTTGTAACTAATGATACATTTTCAAAAGTGGTAAGTGGTGTCCCTCAGGTCTGTGCTGAGACCACTTCTATTCAACATATGTGTAAATGATCTTGAAATAGACATTGAAAGTAGGGATCGACCGATTATCGGTTTTACCGATATAATCGGCCGATATTCGGTATTTTCGGCAATATCGGTATCGGCCAATTCAGATACCGATATTGCCGATAATACCTCCTGGGACCGCCAGGCTCATTACAAGCCCCGCTGCCCTTAAGGAGAAAGCGCGATTACTTCCTGAAGCCTTCCAGCTTCAGTAACTCTCGCGAGACCCGCGGCCGTCAGAGCGTTGCCATGGGTCACCGTGGCAACGCTCCGCGCGACACGCTGGCCGCGAGAGTTGCACTGGGGAGCTGGAGGAGCTGCTGGGAGGTGAGTAAGCGCTTGATCTCCGCCCCCCCAAAGCTCAGCCAATGCCACTGGACCACCAGGGATTGCTATATCCCCCCTCCCTGGCCAGGCAACAAGCAGGGAGGGGGGACAAAAAAAAAAAAAAAAATTTAATCTAAAAAATAATAATAATTTAATAAAAAAAATGCCCCCTCACACACACTCCATTATATACACATACACTACACAAACACACTGTGTATATAATGCAGTGTGTGTATAGGGTGTGTGTGTATACAATGCACACAAATACACACACTGCATTATATACACACACTGCATTATATACACACACTATACAAACACACACTGCATTATATACACACACACTACACAAACACACTGTATATAATGCTGTGTGTGTGTGTATATAATGCAGTGTGTTTGTATAGTGTGTGTGTGTGTGTATACAATGCACACAAATACACACTGCATTATATACACACACTATACAAACGCACTGCATTATATACACACACACACTACACACACACTGTATTATATACACACACACCACACAAACACTGCATTATATACACACACGAACACATGTATATAATGCAGTGTGTTTGTGTGGTGTGTTTATATAATGCTGTGTGTGTTTGTGTAGTGTGTTTATATAATGCAGTGTGTGTATATAATGCAGTGTGTTTGCATAGTTTGTGTATATAATGCAGTGTGTTTGTGTAGTGTGTTTATATAATGCACACTACACAAACACACTGCATTATATACACACAGTATACAAACACACACACTCTGCATTATATAAACACACTACATTCACTACACACACACTACACACTTTGCATTTACTATATACAGCATTCACTTTATGCACACTACCCACACACTACACAAACACTCTGCTTTCATTATATACACACTACACTAATACACACTGCATCCACTACACACACTCGACAAATACACAGTGCATCCACTACACAAACACACATTGCATCCTCAACACACACTACACAAACACACAATGCATCCACTACACACACTACACACACACTGTATTATATACACACACACCACACAAACACTGCATTATATACACACACGAACACATGTATATAATGCAGTGTGTTTGTGTGGTGTGTTTATATAATGCTGTGTGTGTTTGTGTAGTGTGTTTATATAATGCAGTGTGTGTATATAATGCAGTGTGTTTGCATAGTTTGTGTATATAATGCAGTGTGTTTGTGTAGTGTGTTTATATAATGCACACTACACAAACACACTGCATTATATACACACAGTATACAAACACACACACTCTGCATTATATAAACACACTACATTCACTATACACACACACACACTACACAAATACACACTTTGCATTTACTATATACAGCATTCACTTTATGCACACTACCCACACACTACACAAACACTCTGCTTTCATTATATACACACTACACTAATACACACTGCATCCACTACACACACTTGAAAAATACACACTGCATCCACTAAACAAATACACACTGCATCCTCAACACACACTACACAAACACACAATGCATCCACTACACACACTACACAAACACACACAGCTCCTCTGTCTAAACACACTGCATCCACTACATGTGGCATGTGTATATTTTGTGCATTTACCTTTAGAAATAGTTTTTATTTTCCAAAATGGTAAATGTACAGAATATCGGCAAATTATATCTGCTATCGGCCTGAAAGTTCACAGAATATCGGTATCGGCTCTAAAAAATCAATATCGGTCGATCCCTAGTGCACAGAATTGACATTAGCCAGCCTGGAACTTGGTGCTGGGCTGGCTATTGACCCTGCTTAAGGGTGGAGTTGCACCTTCAGCAGCTAAAGGGTAATCTCTGTATGTTTTATAGCCAAGTAACCTTTTTAGAGGAGAGTTGTCACTAGTTATCTGGAACGTTACACCACTGAATAAAACATTCACTGTGTGTTGAATTTTTGATTAGACCTTTTGAGACGAGTCAAATCCTGGGCGACTATTGAAAATGAGGAGGAAAAATGGAAACCCAGGTGGGGGAATGTTTACTATATACATTTTGGTGCAATGTAACTGCCACTTTTCAGAACACTTTGATAATTATCTCCCATTCTAGTTTTCCTCTACTCTGTATGTGTTGGTTGCAAAGGACACTGCTTAAAACAGTCACTGACATGGAACCAAGATGGAGGTGCCCAGTTGTCGGGTAAAGAGGTAATCTCTAATTTGTAATTTAAAAAGTGGGTATTTTTTAAATTTATTTATTTATTTTTTACACTTGACACGTTCTGATTTAATAAAGGGATAAGTTAACCAAATACTAAAAATCCAAGGATGAGACAGTTCACTTGAAACCTAAAATTTCCCTTACAACTGCAACTATCAATACTCTGCTGGCACAAGTGCTTATAAAGGAAGCGGAGACTTCCAAGTCTTTTAACACAACTTTGTTACCCACCCCTCCACATCCAAAATGAGTGTTTCACAAAGATTACATTTTTATGAAAGGCTGTCATTAACTAGTTGAAAGATAGATATTTATTTGGATTAGCCGTATTAGTCCAGTAGACAAGATGGCAAAATACCAGAGTATTGCAGTATGCAATGATAACTTTTTTTTTAAATATTTTAAAGACAAGCTTTGAAGAGTTTCCTCTCTTCCTCAGGTCTGAAGCAATACTGATCAATCTGAAAGAGTTTAACACTTAAATCTACCGATGTTAGGGGAGGGAGCAATTTCTCGATCTTTCAACTAGTCAATGTGCGCATTTCATATTGCTCAACTAGTCTGTGTGTGTGTTATTTACCACCTTTTTTGTATTAGCAGATATCTGAAGTTTCACTGGGACTCCTGATAGGCCAGAGAGGCCTGTTTGGTTCTAGCAGCCTAGGTTGCCTCCCCCTGTTCTAGGCAGAATAAACTGATCGCCTGGAAAATAATGTTCTTAATTTTATATTTCTTACCACCACAGACAAGTGCTGTCATTATTTTCAGTTTGTTTTCTGAATGTTATTTTGATCTATGGTTAAAGTAGACATTTATATTAACCTCCTAGAATAGTAACGTCAACTACAGGTGACCTTGTCTAGACCCTAGATCCCACTTTACTTAGCTGGCTTCAAAAGACCAGTAAACCAGCTCTGTCAAATGCACATACTGACCAAAGTGAACCTGTGAAGTGCTTGTAAAATATCTCCTGTATGTGTAAATCTTATAATTCATTGATCTGAATCTGTTTGTAATGACGGTTGGATGCTGAAGTGAAACATGTCTATTATTGAGATGCAGCAGAGGGGTCAGGCTGGGAAACCATGATTTTTTTTTTTTTTTGTCAAACAAATCTTATCAGATTGGGTCCAAAGTTGCAGAAATGTAACCCTTTCAATGTGCTTTAGTGTTAATTTAAAACAAAACCATATTTGACCTGCTCTACTGGCAAAAAGGTAACGTTTTAACTGCTTCATCATCCTGCCACCATATTGTGAAATGAATGCGGAAATAGCACATCTCCCTGATTTACCACACATGAAGGTGTGTATATATAAAAAGTTTAAATATATAGAAAACTTAAAACCTCAAAAGCAGCAGTTTAGGAGGAATCCTGTTAGGTGAAAGCTTGAATTGCTTCCTCTTGCAATTGTATATTGTAAGAAATAAAATATAATTTTCTTTTGAAATCAACACTCAAATGAAAAAGGACTCACTCTTCACATAAAGCATATTTCAGTAAAGTAAAGTGCTTTAGGAGTCTGGAGTGTCCCTTTGAATCTTCTAAACAGGCATTCCATTCCTGTGTAATTCCACCCATCAACCATGCAAATGTGATAAAGGAATAGTATGTATTGTGGAAGACTTCTCTGACTAATGGGGATTGCTTTGGGCTTGTTTTTCTGTCTTGTCTTGTCTGTATCCTATGTTTTCTATGTCTTGAGGCCTATAGATTAAGGGAAAGGAAAACAATCCTTAAAATCTTTTAGTTCACGTAGGACCCTAGGGACACTACTACTCTTCCTACTAAATCTTTTTTTTTTTTTTTTTTCAACGTCTCCATCCTTGGCGTTACTGCAGAGACCTTATAACATGGCCTAAAACCTAATTGAAAAATTGAAAAAGTCCCACATCTGTAACAACCTTGCTACTCCTTAATCTATCTAACTTCTCCTACACCATTATTGAGGTTAACCCATTCCTGCCATTAAGATATAAGCCATCCTCTAAAAGGTGGTCTTTAGAGACATTAGGATGGCATTCCATGTCCTAAAAATCTTGTCCTTTCACCCCTTGTAATACTTTACTTGCAAGTCCTCCTGCAGCCAATTGCTGCAGTCAGTCACATGTCGAACATTGGCTGTTGGATTGTTCTCTGACTTTTTCCTCACTTATCTGAGGCAGAGATCATTACTACTGTCTCTTGTGTGCTAAATAATTGAATTTCTGAATGCCCCTGTGTCTGCTGAAAACTGGGTACCTCCAAACCTCATCACACCTGAAATACGCCTGCTTATGGAAACACATAGCATCAAAACGAATGCTCTGGTTTGTGAGCCAGTAAATTATTTTAAGCTTTTTATGACATATGTATTTTGAGCAAATTACAAATTTCTGTGCCAACCAATATCGCTCTGCAAATCCTGAGTTACACCACAGCAGAAAGACAACTGACACTTCACTGATATCTCTGAGATAAAAGCATTTTGGGTCCTTGTAATGGGTATAGGGAGAAAAACAATATTATAAAGAGCCATGATACAAGCAACTTCTCAGTTTCCTGCACATGCAGACACCAGGCACTGACCACTACAAATCACTGAAGCTTGGAGTAACTACCTTTCAACGAATATAACCCATCAAAGAAATACTTTGTCAAATTATGCAAATTCACTAAAAGTTATACCTGGGCTATTTGCATTTATCAAAGGGAAAGTTGGCTATCTTGACTCTTCAGGGTGCTCTGATTCTGTGTGCACAAATGACAAAACTGTGGGATCTCCTCCTTCTCTCAAAAAACAAATCTAGACTGAGATTCCTTGAATCTCCAAGAGGAGCCTCTAGTGTCTGGTAGACAGTCACTAGCGGCTGTCTTGGTACTTCAATGTAAACCTTAGTTTCTTAAAACATGCAATGTTTTATATTGCATGACTAAGGGGGACAGGTACAATGCACCCAAATCCATTCAATGAGATTTATTTTATTTATAAAATATTTTACCAGGAAAGCTACATTGAGATTTCTCTCGTTTTCATGTATGTCCTGGGAAGATGGGAGATGCAGTGGTCTGGGTGCCTGTAGTGTCCCTTTAAGGCAGTGTGCTGTGTAAACCCATAAAGTGTTGACAACCTAAAGTAATTTGACAACCTAAGTAATTTTGTTTAATTTTTTTTTATTTTTTTTTTTGCTATTTTAACTTTTATCTGAATTTGTATGTGTATATGGCCCTTTAAGTTTTCTATATATTTGTATAACTTTTTATATATACACCTTCATGTGTGGTAATT